CCTTCTACTTTGCACTGGAAACTGTGCTTATGCCAGCACCTTATTAAACTGATTGCTGAGTCTTTTCCTCTGGAATTTAGCACCACTACAGCAGGTTAGCAACAGAGGCTGTCTCAAATATCTTGTGTTAAGGACAGATCTGAAAAGTTATCTGCACTGTGGAGTAAAGCTGTTTTGCTGGCAGCAAGAATACTAGAATGGATATAAAGTGTCTTGAGGAAAATTGTCTTTAGGACTGCATCCCATTAAAGACATTTGAGTGGTATTTTGACCCACTGGTTCCAGCAGGGGCAGAACATCATATCTGCTTTTGTTCTACTGGTATAATACACATCTACATATGTGACATCAAAATAACTTATTCTCCCCCTTTTAGGGTTTCTTCCTCTTCCTCTTTCTATTTATTTGCAGATCTCATTTGCAGACTCTCATGCCACTACAGAAACAAAATTGTTTGTTCACACTCTTCCCCGGTACATACGACAAAGCAAGGTTCAAGATAAGCCCTTTGCTGTCTTTCTGAAACACTCCTTTCATGCTCACTGCAGGTTGGTGCGATATACTCTAACATCATTTGTTACATATTTCATACTGCAATGCCATGCTTGATTACATCAATCTATACAAAACAGAAACTGGCAGCCAGTCTCCCAATTTCTGCCAACTGTAAAGGTTAACATGTACGTTGGCATAATGTGGGTGTGTAAATAAGGGAATTTGTGTAGTCCTTTATTTAGCAATGTAAGAAAACATATTTCAGGTCGGAGATGAATAGTTTTCCTTCCCTCCAGGTGTCTATTTTCTATTTTGGAAATTTCAAGGAAGGGATTAAACATGCACAAGCACTACTTAGCAACAAAACACTAAGGAACCATACTGTGTGTACTATAACTTCATTTCATAAGACTATCATCACAAACTGCCAGTATTTCATCACTGCCAAGATGTCTTTGGAGAGAGACAAGAGAAGTCAAGGAAGTGGCTCTCAAGACACCCCCAATAAGCTCTCTGCCATCACTCAAGCCTCCCATAAGGCAAGTTCACCATTCCCAAAGATAATTAACAAATTTACTTCTAGACCAACAACCTTTAAGAAAAAAAAATATTTGCCCAATCAAGTAAGTTTATGGTTACAATTTTTCACCTTTAGAAGTTCTTATTATTGGAAAACTAAAGACATAAATCAGTAACTGTCTTATGCAAATATTGTCAGTATAAAACAAAGTTATATGTGTTCATATATTTGTAAACTAAATATTTTCTAACCTGATGCAGAAATCCACGGTAAGTTGATGTAAGGTAACTGATATTTGTTCTGGTATTGCACAAAGTAACCAAATCATTTGGCACGAATAAGCAGTCATTTAACAGTAAGAATTAAAATTAATTACTTTATATACCTGTGCCTGTTTGTATAGGTTATGGTTTATGCAGCAGTCTGTGTTGATGACTAGTAAACAAAACATTCAAATAAAGATCCACAAATTTTAAGCAATAACAGTACCACATTCTATATATTCTTTACTGTCTTCCGTGCATTGTATACTGTTGCAATGGATTCCTCTGCTAAACTATTAGAAGACAAAAAAAAATGACAAGTCATATGAAATGCAGACAGTAGTCAGAAGGTAAGTGCTTTCAAAGGTCCTAGTCTCCTCAGTCTCCAGGATGATATGTAAGAACAGACGGGAAATTTTTTAAGTGTGCAGCACTCATTAGAGTTGGCATGAAGGTGATCGCACCTTTACCTGTGTAATAGCTTAAATACTGACGGAGCACTAGTCCAAAAGGAAAGCACTGTCTATATACTCAGAAAAGCACTTGCAACAAATGGCAGCTCTTATGCATAATCACCTCTGCTTGAATATAGAACATTGGCTCAAGACACTCTCTATCAAGAATCAAGAGCCTGAAGAAACATAAAATACTAAATTGGAACTGCATAGAAAAGTTCTACCTACATCTACAGCTCTACCTTTAGAAAACATGGCTATGCAAAAATAAGTTTTCTGTTTAGTAAGCTATGAATCCATTGACATTGTTTTTGTGCTGTTTTGCTATTATGATTGTAACAGAAGAGTCAAACACTGAAAGTGTTGTAAAGTAAATGTGATGAACACAAAAAAACCCTGTATGGCTTTAAAATGGATAACATCTGGCTACATATCTCTAATAGAACTGATACAAACTGCACACATACCCTTATCAAGTGAAATGTATTTGACTTTGGTATACTTGCAACTATCTTTAGGTAAAAATGGTAACATTTGTAGAAGGCAATTATAGAATCAAAGAAGCAGAGCGATAGTAAATGTGAAAGATTTTCTTGTGAAAATGTTGGATGAATATTATGAAGTATTCTCCAAACAAAATGGCCAGTTGGAGATTTTGAAAGGAAATTCTAAATTATATGGTTTAGGTGTAGCTGCAAGAGCATCGATCATTTTTCTTATATTCTGAAGAGCAATGCCAAAGAAAACAGATTTTCTGATGTGATTAATAAAAGCAAAGGCTGAAGTGCAACAGAAAAAATTGTGATTAGATAAAAAGAAAAGATTTTTGATGGGATTTCTAGAGTCACTTATTGAAGAACTACTTATTGAAGACAGTTTTAAGTCCAAAAAACAATATTCCACTATGCTTACATTGGACCAGAGTAAAAATAAAACATTTAGATTGAAGGTTCTAGTGATAAGAAAACATGAGAAAATGCCACCATCTGATCAACACTTAATTAATTTCAGTAAATATGAAGCTATTTTAGTATGTCAGAATATGAATATACTACAATTATTTTTCTTCTTCGGGGTAAGACTAATTTCTTGAGAAGAAATTATGCTCTTCTTTACATATATTACTGAAAAATGAATAATGAAAACCTACATCAGAGATTAAGCTAGCATGTGTTAAACAAATTCTTTAAAATGTTTAAGAATTATTATCTTTTCTGTTGTGAATATAAGCAGATAGCTAGACTAAACCTTTTTGTGCTAGGAAAGTCGGTTAACTAAATGGCATTTTTAAAGATCAGCTCAGAAACTGCAAGTACTGCAACTGCATATTTGCACAGTTCATGCCAGAGTGGACCCTAATATCACCTGCAGCCTCTAAACACCACTGTACTATTGCTCTTAATAGTAATAACAACAACATTCATCTTATTGGATACAGCAGTTCCTATTTTTGTATTCACAGTAAAGCTATAAAAATTTTCAAGGCACTTTCAGAGGTACTTTTTCTTAAAGATAAGAAAAAATTCCAAGTGTTTAACTATAATCACTATTGGGAAAATACATTAGTAATGTACACTTTAGAGCACTTCTGAAAAGCTACACTCCTAATACCAGGTAAATGATATATGTTTTAGAAACACTTATGAATGCCTATTCACTTATTACTCTGGCATGGCCTCAAAACAGTATTGGCTAAACAATAGTGCTTCCATCATGGTTTTGTGTATGGTCAATGAAGTAAATAATATGCATTTTTTTAAAATGCTTGAATGCGTGCTTACACAGCAGTTTATTCAGATCCATTATGGACATCCAAGTAAATAAATGTTCCAAAGTCCATAACTATATATTTTGCAAATACAGAGCTGCTAGTTTCTACAGAACAAATAATAGGCACTATAACAATACCACATGCACAGGGGTTTATCCAACAATGTACTTCACCACAAAACAGATTTCACAACTTCTTGCTGGCTTTTTCTCCTACTCCCCATCATTTCTTTTTTTTGTTTTTAAAGAAAGGTGCTAAAGGGGAGAACATTACCTTTCAAGAAGCTGTTACATTTTCAGAATACACAATCATTATGAGAAATAATAACATGAAAGGGAATTTTTTTCTTGAGAATCCCCGTAAAATCCCTGTAGGCCCTTTTTCGATCTCACCACCTTACTTTGACCACCAGCTGACTTAGATGAGTTCTGCAGTTGAGAGCCACAGTTTTACATTAATGGCATTTACTGCTCTGAGTAATTGCTCAGTAAAAATTCAGGAAGGGTTTTGTATTTGAGTACAAATACCAATGGAGAGCAAGTTCTTTAATAATCTGATGCATAGCTATATGTGGGCAAGAGCTTGCCTTTTGCAGCCATCCTGAAAGCTCTTTAACCTTTATTCTTCTTTCATTCATGTTTTAGGAATGCTAACAGGACAAATGATACCTTAGGAAAGAAACAAATAACTACTGATCAGAACTGCAGATCGATAAGATAAGACTAGAATCTCCTATCTGTTTTGTAAGAAGCTGGGAGCCATTAAAGGAGGTCAAAAACCTGATTTTGGCTACAATCTATGCCACTGTGACGAAAAAAGATCCCAAATAATTCTTCACAGGCCTTGAAGTGAATAAAATACATGGATAGAGAGGAACTAAAATGGGGGAGAGAGCCTAATCAGGAAGGGTTCTTCAGCAAAAGCCCAAGACAATAAGTTAGATTTTTCTAAAGTGTATCAGGATATCCCATAGATATTTAAGATAGGCTTTAAATAGTCAAAGTAGACAAACTAATGCTCTTGACTTCTAGATGAGCTTTCCTTCCATATGCGCCTCTAAAATGATAATTTTCCAGGGCCCAAGGCAGACTAGTTTCGAAGAACAAAAAATGTCTTCATATCTCAGGGATGGTAAAGGATTCTACATTCCAAGCAGCCTGTAAATTTGCAGCAGTCTGATGATATATGTACATGACACCCTTGCAAGTATTGAAATTAAATTAAAAATAATGAACTACTTAAAGTCTATTCATGGATATTCCTGACAGAATCTACGTGGGCTTGGGAGAAAGGAAAATTTGCTAAATTCATAATTCACTTAGGAACAGTTTGCTCAGTGTATGACCCATTTAAATGTTTTAAAATGTACATTTTTTACCAGTTTTACTCCTTTTTAGTCTTCAAAGAGCCATTAAAATCACTTTTTAAAGGTCCAACAAAAGAGCTAAATGAATACAGAAGTGACACCCTTGATTTCAGAAAGGCTATGTACTCACCAGCACACAAAAGCCTGAGTATAATGACTTCAGTCTCATTCCAGGGGTGCTAAGGTAGGAAGGATTACAGATGAACTGGTTTTATGATACATGACCATTCTACTTCATCAATTGCAGAGTGTCTTTTCTTGATGCTCTGTTGGGAAATATAGCACAAAACCTGCTTTGTTGACACTAGATTTGTTACTGTAAGCCACATTTTATAAGTATGGGAGAAGGATATTTAAGACTGTTAGAAGCAATAGAATATTCTAGGAAGTTTTCAGAACAAAATAAAAAACCCATTAAATTAGTCCATAAATTTAGCTTCAATGCAGCAAGAAACTGAGATGTGTTTATCTTTTTAAGTACTATATTATTTTTCCCATGTAATTTTCTAATTTCTTTTGGGATCTTATCAATGTCTATGAATACCTGGCTGAAAAGTGCAAAGCATACAGAGACAGGCATTTTTCAGTAGTGCCCTGTGTCAGAACAAGAGGCAATGAGCACAAACAGAGGGAGAGTCCCTCCAATCAGTAAATGCTTTTTAACTCTGAGGATGACTGAGGTTGCTCAAGGAAGCTGTGGGCTCTTCCTCCTCGGAGATATTCAAAGACCATGGGGATGCAGTCCTGGACAACCAGTTCTAGGTGGCCTTCTGGAACTGCCTTGTCCTAGATTAGCTCCAGTGGTCCTCCCAGCCTACACCGTTTTGAGATTTTATAAAAGCTATTTATTCCAACTGATTTGTTTTAAAATGTTCATTCCTGTCTTAGTCACATAATTTTTATACAAATTGTGTGTCTCATAAATTTTTATTAATAATGTTTTAATCCACAAGGAAACAAAATTCTTTCTTGGTTCTTTTTTTTCTGTTTGTGTGTGTGACTTAAAGAGATAAATTTAATGGCTATGAATTCCTCATCCCTGGAAAAAATTTACTAATGTTATTTTTCTGCTGTTTTTCAAATTCTGAAACTTACCTTGAATTTTGATAATTGTATCAGACAATGAATGACTGACACCGATTATACAATCCCTCATGAGATATTTTTAATGCTAGATTTTATTAAATAGGAACATTAGTAGTACTTCAGATCAGTGTAAAATTTTATAATACAAAAATTAGTCAGGAATAGTTAATGTCTAACATACTCGCTCCTCTACCAATAAAATTATTATATGATTGGTGCTTAATTTCAACCAATTGCTCACATGTTTTGTCTTATGTGGTGTTTTCACAAGTCTTTTGGTTCTATGAAACCACTAAGGTATTTTTTAAGTGGTTGTATTATCTAATATCATGTGAGAAGTAACATTATAGTCTTGTTTTGATGTGTTGTGAAACTGGAAGTGTAATCACTGCATCCTGCACTGTGGGCTGTATAAAAGGACATACATACTACGCATCAAATCCTAGATTAAACTCATAGAATATCCTGAGTTGGAAGGGACCTATAAGGACCATCAAAGTCCAGCTCCTGGCCCTGCACAGAAGAGTCCCAAGAATGACGCCCTGTGTCTCAGAGTCATCCACACTTCCTGAACTTTGGCAGGTTTGGTTAACCTAGTCCTGTTAGTTGGCAGCCATACATTTGCTCTGCTGATCTTTAATGATTAGAAGGTCACTTAGAGAAGAAAAATAAACCTAATATACATTACCTATACCATTATGAAAACTGGTTACAATGTGCTAATTTCACTCTGCAGAGAAAGAGATGATGAGATGATGAGATGAGATGAGATGAGATGAGATGAGATGAGATGAGATGAGATGAGATGAGATGAGATATGAGAGTTGATCTCAAGACTTTTCTTGCTGGCTATGTCTGTTCTCAACATAAGTTTACCATCCAGCAGAAAAAAAACTCCATTTACTTTGTAGTAATGATGTGGTTACAGGAGAGTCCTCAAATTTTTTATCTCTTTCCCTCTGCAAAACAGAAGCAAGGTTTTCTTCAAAAAATAAACTAGAGTGGCCCTAAAGATTTTACAACCACTTGCTTCCTGGTAATACTGTCCCTAGGTTCTATCAGAAAAGGTAGATTACCCATTCATAGCTGCTTCTGATCTCTCCTTATAAAAATACACTGTAGTAAAATGTTCATCAGATATAAATTAAACACACTTTTGGATCATCTGTGTTGCATACAGGCAACAGCAAGGAAGTTATTGAAAATTAACTAGTTAGGTTTGAAGAAAATCCATTGCTTCTAAATTATACTGGGAAATTTATTCCCTTTTATTTTTTTTTAACTTGTAATAAGTGTAACACATGGACTTTGGTAGTAAACATTTTCAGTTTCTCAGACCTGGCCAAAAAAGCAGGCTGGTCTTTGTATTTTGTTCCTTTTTTGACCATGCTTCATAAAAGGACATCCAAGGGATATGATTTAATGTAATTTGAGAAGTTTTTTTTTATTTTCCTGTTAGGGTTTGAAAATACTGCTGTTGTCAGATGAACTAAAGTCTGCTCTTCACCGCCCCCACCCCCTGAACTAGAAATCCAGATATTACATGTTTTTTAAGAATAACTGTAAGAGGCCATAGTTAAGACATTTAATAATCTTTTAAAATGTTTTCTTATAATCCATCTTGAATTTTTATTCACCAGATTTTTCACCAGCTTTTTTTCTGTCTATTTTCTTGTCATATGACAGCTTATTAGTCGTTCAGAAACCATATTTTAAGGATAATGGGAATACATCTACTTACATGCAGACATATTCAGGATTTTAATAATTATTTCCATTTTTTATTCTATTTATTAAGCATTTTTTAAACTCCTGAAGTGTTTATCCAAATCAAATTTCAAGTTGTCATGGTTTGATACTGGCATAATGCCAGGGTCCCCATGAAAATGCAATCTCCCAACTGAATGCTGTGAAATGCAATCGAGAACAGAGCAAACAGGCCCAAGCTTAATAACAAGAAAAAAAACTTTATTAAGCTACTACTACTATACTACTATAAAAGGAAAAAGAAAGAAAAAAAACACACACAAAATTCAAAATGAAAACCTTCCAAAGCATTCCTCCTCCCACCACCCAACTCCAACAAACCACAGTGAGACACAACCTGGACCCCAATCAGGTTTCCACCTTCCAGACAATTGATTCTCAGTCCATTGAGGGAGAGAGGAGCCCCTCCTGTGCCACAGACCCCCCCAAGAAACACAGCTGCTACATCCTGTGCTTCCATGTCACACATGGCACCGCCTGGAGAAAAAAGTTTGCCAATGGTGACTCTCTCCTTTCCATGCACAGTGCTCTCACCACCAATGCATGGATGGACAGACTGCTTTTAGGATTTTTCCTTTCAAGGATGCCCTGCCAAGAGGGGAAAAAACAACAGTTCAGTTTTTCATTTTTGGGACCACAGTCCCCCCCATTTTCACCTGGGGCCGAGAATCCGAGAACAGAGATGTTCTTCTCTTCTTCCTCTGCGAAGACAGGGGGCACCACCACAAACCTCCTTAACTTTTCTCTGTTCGCTCCACTTCTGTCTTTTCCCAGCTGAAGCATGGTCTCTTTGGCTCACCGGCATCCTCCTAAAATACAGTCTCTTTTGGAGGAGAAGATCGGTTCCATCTGTGGCTACCAAGAAAAAGTCCAGCCAAAAGCCACTCCATCATCTCCTCCCACCTAGAATTTCTCCTTCTAACATCCCGGGTCCCAGGCTGTCTCTCTTCCTCTCTTTTTCAAACCAAGGAGGAGAAAAATTTCACAAAGCTTTAATTTCTCAGGAAGGGTTAAAAGTCCTGACTCCCAAGGATGGCTCACTGCCCAGGCTCCAGCTCCCACAGGCAGCTGGGCACCTTGCGGCCCCTCCGCTCTTCTCCTTCCCCGTGGTGAACTGCTGATAAAACTATCGCTGTCTCTTTCTCTCGAGAGAGAGACTCTGTGGAGGGGAACGGAGACATCCCAGATTTCTTCACCCTTCCATCTGCAGGGGCCAGCCCGGTTCAGTCCCCTCCACCCTTCGGCCTTACCTCAGTCAGGCCTTCCCCTCCCCCACCCAGCTCGTGGCCGGGCAGGGGAGAGCCTGCACTGCACGCTGACCGGAACCAAAGAGAGCGAGTTCTCCTGGGAATTCTGCTTTCAACCCCTCTGTGTTCTCAGAGGCGTGTCCACCTTCAATTGGTCAATATCCAAATTGACCTCTTCCTTCCGAGAAAATTCTTTTTCCATGTCAAACCACGACACAAGTAAAGTCATGTAGTTTATCTACTGGTTTTAAAAATATGTATAGTAAAAGATGGAGGAGATATAGATTAAAAGACATAAGAGAAACTACTGGAAGAACATGATGTTTCTTCAAGGTGTATCATCTGTTACTGAAGATAACAAACTATTAGCAGTAAACTGTGTTATTACAGATGTAATAGGTGGCAACAAACCACGGTAGGGCAAGAAGTGCAGAGACCCAAAAGTAAAAAAATCAGTAGATAGGCAGAATGTTACATGATAACTGAAATTATATCCTCTGAGAAATTAATTTTGCACCATAATATGCCAGCAGACCAATGTGATTTGGCACTAACTTTAGTATCAGTTTAGACTCAAGATGTACAAACTGAAAAATGCTGGTAAACAGCAAATGACAGTACCATCCTCAGACATGGCTGCTGATTTGAGCGCTATCTAACAAAAAACTCCTCTTCCTCCACAGACTTCTTCCCACTGAGACAAATGAATAGAATAAAGAGTATTTCCTGTTGTGACATAGAACATTGCTTACTCTGGATGTCTGTCTTTTCTCCCCCAGCTTTTAGTGAACAGCTAAAAATATATAAATTTTTAAAATCATAGCTGTTTTTAGGAGTGGCCACCAATCTTACACAGATACAACCACAAACGCTTTAGGTAGGATTTTATTTACATCTATTAAATCAATCCCATACAAGAGTCTAAACGACAAAAAAAACCAAACAAACAAAAAAAAACAAACAAACAAAAAAAAAAAATCCACAAGAAAACCTAGGAAAACAAAACATAACAAAACACCCAAACAAGCCCTGACTCTGAGTTTGAGCCTGAACATATGGTTTTCAGATGTCATTTACTCACACTTGTTTTTTGTATTTTGTTTTAGTAATTCCAGCTTTACACTTCCTGCCATGTGTACAAGCATCTCTGGTCAAATTTTAAGGTGTTCAAACAGCAGAGTAAGGGACTACTTTATCCAGTTTTGAAGACACAGTATATCTGATATACCTCTGATGATGTAGAGCCTCTGGAGACATTGGACATCCATTTTTGTGCCATAAATCCAGTGCACATCAGCCTTGCTATGCATATAAACACAGACTGTCTCTGGCTTCCCAGAAAAGGGAAACACTGCTCTGGAAAGGTAAAATGTTGGCTAATATGTTAGTCTGAGAAACTGAGATGATAATTTGTAGTACACAAACATACCAATAAGAGTGCAAAACTGGAAGCTTGAAAAGAATCTTTGAAATTCAGTACCTCAGAATGCCAAGCTATTAAAGAAAAGTCAAAGTTACTTGAAACTTGATTGTGGTCTTACCATTTGGAAAATGTGCTCACATTCAGATAATTAAGTAGACAAAAGTACCTATCCAGGTAAAGTAAAATTTAGAATCAAAGTAAGACCCTTCTATTAAATTAATAGATTTCACATTTAAAATGTACAGTACAGCAATTGAACTTATTTTTCTCTTTCAAAATATGAAGGAGCTTCAAGTATTCAAAAGTTATAAGACAGAGTTTTAGAGTACATTTAGATATCTGTTTATCCTTCCTTTGAAACACTTTTTAAAAATCTCACTGTTTCAAAATGTTTTTATTTTCATTCCATTGATTTACTGTATAGACAGACATTCCTCCTTGCTCCTTTTCTCTGCCTTTCCCAGGTGAAGCAGCACTATTGCAAAGAAAGGCAAAAAGAGAAAGCTACTAACAACAGTCGACTCTGCCCTAGTCTTGGCCTTTACATAGAATTAGCGCAACATATGGCCTCAGATAAGAGCAATGCATCTGAGCAGGATCTGACTAATAGCACTACCTCTAGGTTTACCTGTGAGTAACCTTAATACACCTGAGTGCATCACTGGATTTGTGCTTTGGTCCCTAAAGCAAGAGAGCCTTTCATTTTTCAAATTGTTCAGGCCATCCTTGTGAAGTCTGTAACAGCAACAGACTTTGGAAGGGTAAGCACCCAAAAGGGAAGCCCACCTCGTTTAGAACCTGCTTGTTGAAACTAGGAAAAACTTGCTAAAGATTCACTTGAAGGAAAGGAACAGATCATAGTTGCACTCATTCACTGAGGTCTGCACTGTTACACAAAATAAAATGTGGGAATCTTTTACACATATAAGTGGTAATTTGTGAAACACTGAATGAGCTCTCTGACTCACACAAGTAGGCAAAGAACTGACACTAAGGTGCACCTGCTTTTCTGCTCTTTCCTGGATGTTTGATAGCTACCCCTCCTCTGAGATAACCTTCTATCACAGTCAGCAAAAGGGACGCTGCTCTCAGCAACTTTAAATCACAGCCTTAGTTCAAACCCAGTCCCAAAAGGTGTTTAAATTAAGTAAATTGGGACAGCTGGGGCTGCCATGTATTCTCTTTTGTCTTCTGTTACAAATACTATAACCTTGGCTAAAGGAATGAGCTAGGAATAGAAAAATACAGAAAGACTCAACAAATGTCATTTGCTAGACATCCCAGGCCTACCTTAGGATATTTTTTCATATTTGTTCACAGACTGTTTAAACTTTTAAAAGAACATATTTTTAATTGATGGAAATATGATTCCTATGCAAGCATGCCAGTACATCCAGTATTGCCAAATAGAGTGCTAGCATTCTGAAAGCTTCAGACTTTGCTATTGTGATCACTCAACAGCTGCTGCATTTGGTCTGATCTGTCCACAGAAACTAACTAAAAAGGCTTTTTTTTCCTAGATTAGATGTCCTTTTCTTCCACCAGTAGTCTTCACAACTAAAACTACATGAGGTCTTTTTATTTACTATGAAGAATCATGAAGATATCATCTTTCATATAGGAATTTACACATTTGAGGGAAAATTTCTCTATTGTTCCTCAAATAAAGGTCTAACAGCTTCTGAATGACATAGAAAGAACTACAAACAATAGCTTAAAGTTTGCTTAAAGTACAAGTAAAATCTAATGAAAATTTATTACTAGACCAGCTATAAACAAAATAAAATACCATGTATTTTCCTCTTTCCTGAGAAATTTACATAAAGTGAAGTGAAATCTAATTTGCCCTTTCTATAGTGCTGAATTGATTGGATAATGGTAAGACTTCCCAAAGGATGAAACCATTCCTATTTGCATGCTGATTAGTCTGACAAGGCTATATTGACAGTGCATGTATATATTAACACACAAACTCCTGCCACTTCTATTAATTCAACGTGGAAAATATATTTTTAGCAGAGACTCAGATTTCATGTTTATAACTTGACAAATTAGTTTAGTGCTGCTGTGGAGATAGAATCAAACTGCTGTGTTTACACTATGTTGCCTCTTCAACTGTGACTATATAAAAACAGCATTTACTAAAGGAAATGGAAATTCACTTTAGACGTGAATACTCTGCTCAAGTAAAAGTTCTGGAATTTAAGAAGCACTTAGTTGCTGCATTAGGCCATTTAGGATGTTTCAGCGTCTCAATTGACTGTAATACCAATCTGCTCAAGTGCCCTGTTAATGACCTTCCATCTCACAGCAAGCTCAGGAATTCAGTGTTTATACTTTTCTCTTTTTTTGTAACTATACCATGAGCAGACTGAAGGACAGATCCTTCTTTCTCTCACTACTGTGGCAGAAGTATGTAAATTGTTATCACTTCAAACAAAAAACCCTCTAACCTTTCTACATCTTACTGAAAATTATTATTGGCAAAAATTAGAAACAGGGAACCAGTTCAAACAGGGTGTT